ACTACAGCAATGGAAGGATATTACTCCTTGTACAAAACAGGTCTAATAGGAGTGTGTGTGGGTGGTGGTGGGGGGAGTTGGGAGGGGAAGCATAGAGGGAATATAAGAGAATGATATACCACCAGGATAGGTATCTGTAAACCTGAAGCTCAAAGCTCTTTGGGTAAGGATTTAAGAAAAACTAAAACTGAAGTGTTGTTTTTAGAGGAAGGTATGCTGGACCATCCAATTAACCACTTTGCTTTGGCTTCTGCCACACTTCGTTCCTTCTAGGACTTCCCTCTATCTTATGACTTCCCTCACATATCCTCTTCTCTGCCATTCCCTAAGGTTGGTATCACACAAGACCTCTAGGCTCTGCCCTCATCTACAACTATGAATTTCCTCATTGATTGTTTTCATTTCCACGTCTCTTACTTCCTCCTATAAACAGGTGATTCTTAAAGCTGTAACTTCCGCCCTGATATCTCTTCTAAGCCTCTACTTCTGTTTTCTCAGTAGGTCATAGATACTTCAAGCACATTTCCAAACTGGAACTAGACACCATTCCCATAACATGTGACCCTTTACTTCCTACAGTCCTTATCTTAGTTAATAGCATTGCAACCAACTTGGTTAGAAGCCTCTCTCCTGATTCTGTCTGTCTGCCTTATAATTTCTTTCAATCCTAGTTCTAAAATGTCTTTATTAGCTAACTGTTTTCTTTAGTGCAATGACTTTAAGTTTTTTCTCTCCCATCTCTTGACTTTCCTCTTGTGATAGCCTTTCTGGCCAATTTATTTGCCTCTAGTCTCCACCTGCCTTCCTGACCTGCCTTTCTAATCCATCTTCCCCCACCACTAGTCCTGTCCATGAGATAATAGAAAGCTTTAGGTAGGATTAGGGTGATCACATCCTGAAATTATTATATAAGACATTTTCACGCTGGATGAGAAGTCAACCTCATAATCTCTAAGGCTGGGTTGCCAACCAAGGACCAATTATGTAGTCATTGAGCTTGCTTATTCAAACTAAGATTTCTTTATATCATTCTAAAAGTATTGATTCAAAAATCTCCCAAGTTTAGACCCTCGAATTGTACTTTTGTAGGCTCTACACTAAGTGTGATGAACATCCATTTTTGAAAACTCAAGATCTTATCCAATTATAAGTTCAGTGATTATAACACTCTAATCAGAATCCAATTTGCTATTCCAAGAAAATAGTTACCAAAGTCTTTGTGCAATGGCAGCATCATTAAACAAAACATAAAGCCTTCTGAGTGCACATTTAATGAAAAAAAGCATTCATTTGAATGTATAAGTTCTGGTAAATTTGTGAAAATTATCCTATCACATGAGAAGCATGCTTTATGCACATTTCTTCCTACACATATATCTAATGGGTTTTTTCTTTAGTTTCACAAATAATGTTAATTAGTTTCACATGAAGACTTGAAGTAAAAATAGTGGTGAATGTTATATGCAAAACATTTAGTAATTAGGGTGTTAATTACATTTATATCAAAGCAATTAAAATTTAACAAAACAGCAAGAAAAAAGAAGAGAGTAAAATGAAAGCCCTTAATGTAAATATTTAGATTTTTCCAGTTGATTCTCTCTAGCTAATGAAAGGAGTTCTGCTTCAGGTATCATATAACGTTTCCTATATCAGTAAATTACTGGGACATTAGTAGCTCATGACCAACAAGGAAACTGGTCCCTATAGAATTAACTACAGTAGGTAGTAAATTTCATTTTCATATCGGTGTTATAAATAAATTATTAGAAAAGAATAAAAATAAGAATGACTAATTCCTATTTTACTGTTGCAATTAGTTCCTACAATGAACAAATTTATAAATATGAAGCATAACCCTGTGTTACACTAAGGTCTCAGAGGTTGAATTCCTACATATAAGCACATATGTGAACACAGGTGCCTAAAAATATGGATGCAGGTATATTCATTAGCAATGATGTATACATTTATTTATAATTAACAACATTATGTAAAATAACTCTCTTATATTAATTTGGGCTACCCACAAACACTTTTTTAGGTTAAAAGTACTTTGTTTCAATATTAAATGTACACTTTTTAAAATAAAACATACATTTTCCTGTGGAAACTGTCTTGTAAAGTGTGCTGAGGATCCTCGGCTAACTCACAAATCCTATTAAACCCATAGTGATGAGGGGGCGTCAATTGGGGAAAAAGGAGCCTTATGTAAAACTTTAGATAATAAAAAAAAAAACATAGTGAATTTAACTATAACACTAATGGGACTCTGAAACCTGAGATCTTGAAGAAAAAGACTGGCAAGCCAAAAATAATGAAACAAAGAATGTTCCCTTTCCTTTTTACAACAGAGCTGCCTTAAAAATATTTTGAAAAACCCATTGCTTCTTTGCTACCATTACTTATTGTTACCTCCCTTAACTCCCAGTAACCGCTGATTTTTGTAGCCACTTCCTACAACACCCTTGATCATAAAATATGGGTAGTTAATAGGAAAACCTTACACCTATATCAATTAGGATTTGGTTTGGCTGCATATATCAGGGAAAAGAAAACAAACAAAACAAAACAGTAGTTTAAGCAAGGCAAATGTAATGTACATAGTCCAGAGTTAGTCAGTGGTTCTGTGGTTAATAGGGACTCAGGCATTCTCTCTCTATTTTCTTTTCCATAACCCAGAACATGTTTTCTGTCCTTTAAGTTATCTTACCTTCCAAGATAACTGCTGGAGCTCTAGCCAACATGTTTGTATTTCAGGCAGCAAAAGGAAAAAGCAGGGAAGGACAAAAAGGGTCTCACCAAGATGAGTCATTTCCTTTAAAAGAGTTCTCTGCTGGCATCTTATTGGCTAAAACCTAGTCACATGGAAAACCTGACTGCAAAGGCTGTTGGAAAATATGCTTTAGCGGCATCTTTTATCACGCCCCATGAAATTGGTCTGTTCCTGAGGATAAAGGGGAGAAAATATATTGGCAAGCAATTAGTAATCTCTGCCACATTCCTCAAATAGCCACTCCTCCAGATTACTCAACTCCTTTCCTACTCAGAATAAAGCTATCTCAATTCTATTTTTTATATCTAATTCACAGGAATGATCTTTCTAGATCAATGGTTCTCAACTTCAGCTGCAAATTTAGAAGCACTTAAAGTGCCTTTAAAAATTCTGATGCCCTTAGAAAGGGAATGGACTGACAATTCTTGGGGGGAAGGAGGTGTGGGGGGTGTGGGAAGAGACTGGACAAAAATCTTACACCTATGGATGAGGACAGTGGTAGGGGGTAAGGGCATGGGGTGGGGTGGGAACCTGGTGGAGGGGAGATATGGTGGAAAAAAGAGGAACATCTGTAATAATCTGAACAATAAAAGATTTATTAATTTAAAAAAAAAATTCTGATGCCCAGGCCAATTAAACCAGAAACAATGTCAGTGAGACTCAGGCCACAGTGATTCATAACAATATCTCCTGGTGGTCCCATTGTTCAGCCAGGTTCGAGAACTACTGTCCCAAAGAAATTTTAAAAGAAGGCATGTAACCCAAATGATACCACATTTTGTCACTTTTTTCTGTTGTGTAAAAAAGTGACATTAAAAACAAACAAACAAACCTTGCAAGCCAAGAGTGGAGAATAATTTGGGGAGTGTTGGCACGTGCCATAGAGACCAACTGTTTGCCTTTGGAATCAGTTTTCCTCTACTACACGCTCCTTTTTTTAAACACTATCTTCTCTTCTATAACATTGGAATCATATGATTCTCTGAAAACCCTGATTTTTCTATATAGTAGATTCAAGGACAGCATAGATTGATCCAATATTGGTCATCCTTGATGACTTTTCTCTCCTATATCCCCACATCAATTTAAATACTCTGTATTGCTTCAAATAACTCTCAAATCTGCCCACACCTTTATCTTATCCAAAATCCACACAGCAACCAAAGGCATGTTTAAAACACACACAAATGTGACTGTGTCGTTTCCTCTACATATATCTCTCCAATGACTGCCCATTGATCTAGGACTGTGCCCTACAAGATTCCCTCCCACCCACCTCCCAGCCTTATCTTAGGTCACTCCTCACACTCTTGTATGGTGACCTCCTTTCTTGCTTCCAGTGTCTCCTGGCTCTCTCCTTACAATCAATCTGTTTGCCAGACCTACTGAATTCCCAAATGCAGCCAAACCAATACTTTCATTTGCTAATTCCTATTGAGGGAAGACATTATTGCCCCCATAGACTGGGTCAAGATTCATACTATACTTCTTTTTTTTAATATATTTTATTGATTTTTTTACAGAGAGGAGGGGAGAGGCGTAGAGAGTTAGAAATATCGATGAGAGAGAAACATCGATCAGCTGCCTCCTGCACACCCCCTACTGAGGATGTGCCCACAACCAAGGTACATGCCCTTGACCGGAATCGAACCTGGGACCCTTCAGTTCGCAGGCCGACGCTGTATCCACTGAGTCAATCTGGTCAGGGCTGATGCTATACAGAGATACCAGCTGTCCCCAGTTCGCAGGCCAACACTCTATCCACTGAGTCAAACTGGTCAGGGCTGATAATATACTTCTTCATGGCCCTTATTACAGTTGTAATTCTTCGAAAGCACCCACCCACCCCCTGATTATTTTTTATGAAGGCAGGAAACATGTTCATGTTCTTTACCCTACTTCTTCATGGCCCTTATTACAGTTGTAATTCTTCGGAAGCACCCACCCCATGATTATTTTTTATGAAGGCAGAAAACATGTTCATGTTCTTTACCATTTTGTTTTCAGATCCTAGAACAGCTCCTAGCACAGAATATGTATTAATAATACGGAGATAAATATTTTAGAAGTGAATATAGGAAGAAACGAGTAGCATGGGATTCTGAGATTGGAATGGTAGATTGGAGACAATGTGAAAGGTTCCTAAGCAGCGGCTTGTAATTTCGTCACAACTGGCCCGAGTAAACGTTTCTTCCTTCTGTTTCAATATGTGTCTGTGTCTCTGCAGGTTGTGAGTTGATCCCAGTACAGTACCTTCGCTGGGGTGACCCTGAGCCCATTGCAGCTGTGGTGTTTGCCTGCCTCGGCCTGCTGGCCACCCTGTTCGTCACGGCAGTCTTCATCATTTACCGCGACACTCCAGTAGTCAAGTCCTCCAGCAGGGAACTCTGCTACATTATCCTGGCTGGCATCTGCCTGGGCTACCTATGCACCTTCTGCCTCATTGCAAAGCCCAAACAGATCTACTGCTACCTTCAGAGAATCGGCATTGGTCTCTCCCCAGCCATGAGCTACTCAGCCCTGGTAACAAAGACCAACCGTATTGCCAGGATCCTGGCCGGCAGCAAGAAGAAGATCTGTACCAAAAAGCCCCGATTCATGAGTGCCTGTGCCCAGCTGGTGATTGCTTTCATTCTCATATGCATCCAGCTGGGCATCATCGTCGCCCTCTTTATAATGGAGCCTCCTGATATCATGCACGACTACCCAAGCATCCGGGAGGTCTACCTGATTTGTAATACCACCAACCTAGGAGTCGTCACTCCTCTCGGATACAATGGGTTGCTGATTTTGAGCTGCACCTTCTACGCTTTCAAGACCAGAAACGTCCCGGCTAACTTCAACGAGGCCAAGTATATCGCCTTCACCATGTACACCACCTGCATCATATGGCTGGCCTTCGTGCCCATCTACTTTGGTAGCAACTACAAAATCATCACCATGTGCTTCTCAGTCAGCCTCAGTGCCACCGTGGCGCTAGGCTGCATGTTTGTGCCGAAGGTGTACATCATCCTGGCCAAACCGGAGAGAAACGTGCGCAGCGCCTTCACCACGTCCACCGTGGTGCGCATGCACGTGGGGGATGGCAAGTCATCCTCTGCCGCCAGCAGGTCCAGCAGCCTAGTCAATCTGTGGAAGAGGAGAGGCTCCTCCGGGGAAACCCTAAGGTAAAAGCTGTGGGGACCCTGTGGGCGTGGGCCGCTATTGGCTGAAGCAGTGACATTTGCTTCCTGGGCCTTTTAAATGGAAAATACTTGAGTGAATGAAGCTCTAGGGAGCAGGGTGTTGGGAAAGGGGCTTTGGACATTTGAATAGTTTTTGTGGGGTTAATTGGATGTGGACCCAGTGACTCAGGCCAAGGCAGAAACATAGAAACTGAGACCTCTGATAAAGCAAAGAGTTACCGCAAAAGGGGGTGAGGTCAAGAGGGCAGAGAGAGCACAGTTAAGTCATTGAGCCATGGCAAGGCCCTCCAGGTCCTGAGGGGACGGAGATACATTGTGCACTAAATTCTAGTTCACCAGAAAAGATTACAGAAAATTATTAACAAATAAGATGATGCTGAGAACAGAATACCAAGAGCCTCACACATCCAATTGCACTTGCACATGCCCAGCGCATAGCGACATGAGAATATAGAATTGATATTCTAGTTCTTAATGGGAAACTTGAACTCTTTGAGAAATGTCTAAGTAAATGAAAGAGACAAGAGAACACAGTAGCTTTGAATATATTCTTTCTAAACAACCAACCAGTCTCCCACTTTCTCTGTTGCCCACAGTCCCATCCCATCTACCCCACCAAGTTCAGTGCCACAGGTTTTGTTACTGGGCAGTTGCCATCTGAAAAGAATCTGAAGTCAACAGTCAATGGTTTCCCCCCATGTGAGGGACTACTTTATATGATAAATGCCCCCTAAGGTACTTCAAAAGGCAATGAAAACACCTTATCAGTGGCTTGGGAACAAATTTGAAGGTGTTAAAAAGACTACATAAGTTATTTGGTTGGGAATAAGGATCTCCTCTCTTTAAGAAGTACATAGTCTGATGGGAAAAAGAAAATAAAAGGGGGGTGGTGAGGGGGAAGGCAGATGGAAAACATGCCAGCAGGTTTGAGATATGGAAGGGCTTCTGTGTATAGAACATGACATCTCCAGGATTTATTGAAGAAATAGAAGACATAGTTATCCCTGAGGTTTACAATTTAGTTGACTACCTTGCACCAGGTGCATGGAAAGATATGAGAGGCATACAGGAATTAGAAAAGAATTGAGTGGTAAGGATACATGTTAATAATGCATCATTTTGGTGTACAAAAGAGCTACTCAGGAAATCATCTGCTAACTCTGCAGAGATTTGACAAGTTCCCTAAAGTCTAGATAAATAAATGCAAGATAAATGGCTAAATGATATTGCTTGAACAATTCTTTTAACTATCATTTAGCCTACATAAAAAGTTCTATTTTCTATAAACTCTAATCCCTCAAAGCCTGAGTTGTGGTAATGGTAAAGATTCTGTGTCTGCTGAGGACGGAAAAGGACTCACAAGATACTTAGAGTTACCCACATGGCCCAATTCATTTGCATTTTTAACATGTATCCTTGCCACTTTCAATTCTTTTCTAATTCCTGTATGCCTCTCATATATTTTCATGCCACTTGTTCAAGGTAGTCAACAAAATTATAAACCTCGGGGAAAACTACGTCTTCTATTTCTTCAATAAATCCTGGAGATGTCATGTTCTATACACAGAAGCCCTTCCATATCTCAAACCTGCTGGCATGTTTTCCATCTACCTTCCTGACTTCTCTCTAAAACATTCATTTTCAGAAACTTCTGCAAGATCAGCCTTTTATGTTGTCTAAGAAAATTTATTTTGTCAAACTTAATTTATCAGCCTTTCTTTAAACTGAAATAAGTCTTCGTAAATAAGTCTTCGTTGGCATCCTGATAGAGGAAACAGTTTGCTACAGGGACAGAATTGTGAGTCTGTGCCTAAGTACCCCCCAAACTCTCTAGGGCGGGCTCCTTAGAGAGACAGCATGGAGCAGTGGTGAAGAGCACTGGCTTTGCAGCCAGGTTCTCCTGAGTTTGAGCTGAGACTTCATCTCTTCATCTTCCAAATTGAGATTATAGCACCTACTTCATAAGATTGGAAAGAGAGAAAGGAATAATGTGTGTAAAGTCCAGGCACACAGTAGATACTCTACTAAAGGTAGCAGGATGCAGAACTAGACAGCACTGGGATTGGATCCTGGCAGCATCACTTGCTAGCTGTGTGACATAACTGTAGGCCAATCACTTAACTTCTCTGGGCCTCGGTTTCCTCCTCTTATAAATGGAGATGATGAAATACATACTTCATCCAGTGGTTGTGAGACTAAATGGGTTCATATGTGTCAAGTGGATGCCATACCTTCTCCCCTTTTAAGCTACAACCTTAAGCAATAAATTAGATCCAAACTAAAATTCCTTCCTCTATGCCTCACAGGAGCTCTCAAAGTAAGTATTTATTCTTTGTGATCCAAACTCAGGTGTTCATAACACTAGCATAATAATTATCACATTGAAGAATATGACTGGTTATGCATGGATTTACCTCCCTGTTTAGTTTATGGTTTTATAAAGGCCAGTATGTACTGCATTGCCTATCACATTGGAGCTTAAATAATGGCAAACTAGTGAACTTGGGTACTTCTCATACTTCCACATTTTATTCTAAATTACCCCCATTACTTATACTTCTCTGGCTTCAATTCTGCAATATGTCATGAGCCAATTTATTGGGACCCAGGGTACTATTTAAATTTGAACAAAGTACTTCAGTTCATTTCTTCCACTGTAAAATGGTAGATAAGTAATCCTGTTGTGAGGAGTAAATTAAGTGGTATGTGTTAAATTCTTAGTATCAGACATAAAAAGTACTCAATAAATGGCAGATAAACCTTTTAGAAATGTGTTCAGTTGCAGGAAAGATTAAGCCAGATTTTCAGAGGCCTATATGACTTGTTTGGTTTCATTTTCCTCATACCACAGGAAATATGCAGGTAAACTGTTCCTAGTATTCCTCCATGGCTCAGTGATTCCAGAGCTAACATCTCTGCTATTCTATATACCTTCTGCTAAAGGTTGCATGTTGGCTGTCATGGTTCTATGCATTGCATCCCTTTGTTAGAGAAAAAAGTCTTCTTAGAGTCCCATAAAAATTACCTTTATGTTTCATGGACGAAGTCATCTCATATAGCTATCCCTAGCTGCATAAGTATAAGAAAGTGTGCATTTAGCTTTTATATCATCCATAATGGAAACAGAAAGGGAAAAGGGAATGGTGTCAAGTGCTATTGGATAAACCAGTAAGCAGTACATAATAGTAATAGTAGTAGTAGTAATACAATTGTCTCATGGTCACAAAATATTGAAAGTAGAAGCAATAATCATTCCCATTTTTCAGATGAGGAGTTTGAGGTCCAGCATGGTTAGAAGACTTGCCCATAGACTAGCCAGTTATGAAGCTCTTTTTATAACAGGCCTCAGCTTTTTGGCACTTGAGCTGAACATTTCCCAGAATGTATTCTTCGGAAAGCTATTCTTACAAACTGCTCCATAAAAAAAATAAATAAATAAATAAAAACTTATTTGGTTAAACAAATTAAAAAAAAAAAACTCTGACTACCCTTGTATTGGAAGTAAACACTGAGAAGTCTTGAGTGTGGAAACTAATCAGTCATCTATTAATTTTTTTCCGATCTTTTCCCAAGCTTTGGAACACTGAACTATTTTTTTCAAGTAACTCTATTAACATTCCAGAGAATCAATACTAAAAAGGAGACTCACTTGGAAGAAAATTCATCAGAGCCAAAAAAAGTAGACATGTTCCTGAGGCCTGACTTGTAAATCCAATCTGCTGTGAGGCTAGCAGAAAGAGCCAATTTCTACCTCCGGTCATGGAGATCACTTCTGTTTTCTGAAAACCTAAGGGAAGAATAGAACTAATTCCAGCAGATCTAGCAGTTTACTGGGAAGTTAAATAGGTTCACCCTAGAACAGACAAAAGAAAAATATCCAGTCAGTCATTCAATTCACTGAAATAGCAAAGGGAGATTTTTATTTAAAAGGCAGTGAGTCACGAGAGATTTTTTTAATATAGAAACATACCATTTATGCCATCAATGTATAGAGGTCCCTGTGATTAACACTTTGGTTCTAGGCACTAATTCCCAGCACATGTGGTGCACCATCAAATCATTGTCAAGCAGTTAATGCCAAGTTTCTACTTAAGGCCTTCACTTCGGCTGCAGATTGACAAACAAACACAAAACCAGTTCTGGCCTAAATAAAGCATTGAGTTTGATGAGTCGAAAGTTCTGCTCTACAAGATTCAGAATTTCCAGGGTTGTGAGGCTGAGGTCCTCAGTGGGCCTTTCATAGCTAAATAATAACAGAGGCATATAACCCTGCATCAGAAATTTTCTCAGAAGGTAAAACCCGCCCCTAGGAATTCCGGTGGCAGAAACATTAGTATTGCCTCCACCTTAATTTTAGAAACTGCCATTTGCCACTTTTGTTTTAATTAACTAATTAACTTTGCTTTAATTAACATTGTCATGAGGGCCCTCTTAGGCTGTCTGCTCAAGCAACTGCTAGTCTTTTCATAACCATAGCCCAGATTATAATTTGCCTGAAAAATTGTTTCTCTTGTGTGAATTCCAATATAACCCAACTATGATCAGAGCTTTGATGATTTCCAATTGCTTAGATTTCATTAAGGGGTTATTAGTCTGTGTGAAATGATGTTCCTGCCATTTATCTCTCCTTGGAACCTTCTGCCTCTTCCTACTGTCTCTTCAGATCCTTTCTGTTTCCAAGGCCCACGTTCCTAAACCCTGTCAGATTAGGCATCTCACCTACTTGCCCGCATCTGGACTCAGAACATGTATTATGTATGTCGTACATTTAGCACACATTCCTCACATCTTCTTCATCTATTATTTACTCACAAACATTCACTGAGAACTGAGCATTGCCAGGAACTGTGCTAAGCCCTGGGGATTTGGAGGTTGTTTTGGGTATATGCGCAGTATTTTCACAACTGTGTTTCATATCTCCCTTGGTGCCTAGCACAGTGCCTGACAGGTTGCATTGCTCAGTGGTAGATTATGAATCTGAT